CCTCCATTTTTGAGGCCTTGTGGAGAACGGGTGAAGTTCCAGAGGACTGGAGGGTGGCATCAGTGGCCCCAATTTTCAAAAAGGGTAGTAGAAGGGACATGGGGAATTACAGACCTGTTAGCCTTACGTCCATTGTAGGAAAAACAATGAAAAGGCTCATAATAAACTGAAGCTCAATCCAGACAAGACGGAGGTCCTGTTGGTTGGCGGATTGGGCTTCAGGGAAGGGGACCTGAACCTAGTCCTGAATGGGGTTGCACTCCCTCTTAGGGACAAGGTCCGCAGCTTGGGAGTGCTCCTCGACCCAGAGCTTTCACTGGAAGCTCAGGTGACAGCAGTGGCAAGGAGCGCTTTCTCTCAGCTTCGGCTGATCCATCAGCTGCATCCCTACCTGGAGAACGACTGCCTGGCGACAGTGACACATGCATTGGTGACTTCCCGACTTGACTTCTGTAACGCGCTCTACGTGGGGCTGCCCTTGAAGACGGTCCGGATACTTCAATTGGTTCAAAATAGAGCTGCCAGGCTGCTGACAGGAACTGGGCGTTATGTTCACATGACTCCAGTTCTCCGTCAGCTTCACTGGCTCCCCATTGAAGTCCGGGCCCAATTCAAGGTGTTGGTGATGACCTATAAAGCCCTTAACGACTTGGGTCCTGGTTACCTGAAGGAGCGCTTACATCCTTATATGCCCAGCCGCCCCTGAGATCGGTGGGAGAGGCCCTTCTCCGGGAACCCTCCGTGAAGGATATTAGGAGGGTAAGTACTCGGAGGAGGGCTTTCTCTGCGGTGGCGCCCAATCTATGGAATGCACTCCCCAGAGAGGTCTGCCTGGCGCCGTCATTATTTGTTTTTCGGCGCCAGGCAAAGACCTTTTTATTCAAATGCTATTTTAATTGTTAATATGATTTATTTATTTTATTTTTCAGGCCAGGTCGACTCATATTATATTGTTTTATTCTGTCCTTATTTATTTATTATTGTGAGCCACCCCAAGGCTTCGGCAAATGGGGAGGCATAGAAGCCTTCTAAATAAATAAATAAATAATAGAGATATCTAGTGATGCTAGATAGGGAAGGGAGGCTGACAGCCACATAACACGGCTTCCGCAAAAACAGGTCCTGCCAGACAGACCTTGTGGAATTCTATGACAAGGTTTCGAGATGGCTAGATGGAGGGGATGCAGCGGATGTGGTTTACCTGGATTTCAGCAAGACCTTTGACAAGGTGCCCCATGATATCCTGGTGGAGAAACTGAGGAATTTTGGGATACACCAAAGCACTGTCCAGTGGATTAGGGCATGGTTGACTGACCGAAAGCAGAAGGTAACCATTAGCGGGGAATCACTGGGATGGCAGCCAGTGACAAGCGGGGTCCCCCAGGGCTCTGTCCTGGGGCCGATCCTGTTTAATCTTTTCATCAATGACATGGAAGAAGGGGTGAACAGTCTGCTGATCAAATTCGCAGACGACACTAAAACTGGAGCAGTGGCCACAACTGAGGAACAGGTACTCCAGATCCAAAAGGATCTGGACAGACTATGGAAGTGGGCAGGAGACAACAGGATGGCGTTCAATGTGGATAAGAGCAAGGTCTTGCACTTGGGGCATAGGAATAGGTGTCATAAGTACAGGTTGGGGGACAGGTGGCTGGAGAGCAGCGCTTGTGAAAGGGACCTTGGGGTGCTGGTTGACTGCAGGCTAAACATGAGTCAGCAGTGTGATGCGGTGGTCAAGAGGGCGAATGCCACCCTTGGTTGCATAGCCAGAAGTGTGGCTTCTGGATCAAGAGAGGTACTACTACCACTCTATATGACTCTGGTGCGCCCACAACTGGAGTATTGTGCTCAGTTTTGGGCCCCTCATTACAAAAAAGGATATAGCCAGGTTAGAGTCAGTGCAGCGTAGGTCCACAAGGTTGGTGGCCGGTTTGCAGGGGATGGGGTATGAGGTGAGACTGAGGGAACTGGGTCTCTTCAGCCTGGAGAAGAGGAGACTCAGAGGGGATCTGTTGGCGACATACAGGAATGTGAGGGGATGTTGCATGGAGATGGGTAGAGACCTGTTCTCCCCCGCAGAGGAAGGCAGGGCGCACTCCAACAGAGCAAAGCTCAGGGAGCCAAGGTTCCATTTAGATGCCAGGAAGCACTTCCTGACAGTCAGGACCCCGAGGGTGTGGAATGGGCTTCCACGGGAGGTGGTTGAGGCCCCATCGGTGAGGGTATTCAAAGCTAGGCTGAACGTGCACATGGTGGGCATGTCATAGAGGAGCCAGCTGGTGCCGGAGGTCAGACTAGATGGCCCGAGAGACCCCTTCTGACTCGCTCTGTTTCTATGTTTCTATGTGTGGAAAAGTTGCTGAGATGGTGTAGGAAATTACAAGAGCTGGGGAAACATCCAGGGATAGAGTGAAACCTATTGATTGGGGAACATGTTTGGGATTACCTAAAATTTTCCTTGCAATCCTAAATATGTTTACTTAATGGTAGGCTCTACAGGATTCAATGGGGTTTGCTCCCAGGTTAGTGTACATAGATTAAAATTTTATTCCTTAATAAATGGGCTTAGAGGTGCACCTTTCCTTCTCCTCCCTGAAGATCTTTCCAAAAGCTGAATCTAGGCAGAAAGCTAGGAATTCTTAATTGTATAATTTAAAAATAAACAATAAACAAAAGTAGCCATGCTAGTACAGGAGAAATAAAAACCCAAAAACCAGAGTTGGGCAATGTCTGTATTAGGCCTTTTGATTGGTCCCAATAATTGGTCCTAACGATGTGTTTTGGTACTTTGTGTTGTATGATGATGCAGTTGCTACAAACTTAATATTGTAATATTTTGTGTAGATTACAGCATTTCCAGAAGTTAGAATGCAAGAACTGTAGAACAGAACATGTTTGAGAATCCCAGAAACTACACAGTATGTATTCTCTCTGCCTCCTCAGTTGGCCTGCTAACCAGAAGCCAGTGTGGTGTAGTGGTTAAGAGCGTGGGACTGGGACTCAGACGATCCGGGTTCTAGTCCCCGCTCAGCCATGGAGCCAACTGGGTGACTTTGGGCCAGTCACAGACTCTCAGCCCAACCTACCTCACAGGGTTGTTGTTGTGGGGATAAGATGGAGGAGGAGAATGATGTAAGCTGCCTTGAGCCCTTGGTAGGAAAAAGGCAGGGTATAAATCAATCAATCAATAAGCAAGCAGCAAAGCAGGGAGCTCTGGCCCTGCTGTTCTCTCCAGTGCTGTGGGGCTTCTCACTGATGGTACATACGTGTTAGTGAAGACTTACACAGAAGTAAATCACCTTATGCTTAATGGGGTTACTCTCTAAGAAGTGGGTAAGCTTGCAGTCTAAGAGCATGGTTTGTTATAGTCTGCAATACATTCCCACCCTCTCCCTTGCCAGTGTGTCGTGTTCAGTTTGCAGGGAATTGGTAGGTATTTAACATCCCATTCAGTTCTTTGCTGGTCGCAGGCATGCCACCCTCCCCATGTAGCTTGGTTCTGAAAGACCAAGGAAACGTGTGGGGCGTGGATGGCAAGGGAAGCTTTAAGCAACCACAAATTGAGATGTTGCATAGTTCTTTCCTGAAAGCACGCAAGAGGTTGATTAGCTTGCCTTCTATTCAGTTTCAGTGACAGTAATTATTTCTAATGGTGGGCATATATTCGCAAAAGTAAATTAGCATGTGCAAATTTGTGCATTTTTCTATCTTGTAAGCCTGAGCCCTGGATCTTTTTGGTACCTACCCTGCCCCTGAGTACGAGAATCAATGGCAGCTGGTCATGATCAGTTCCTACGCATCAGATGTGAATACTCAACCATATGATCACTGTACATATTGTATATACAACACAGCTGTTGATAAAAACTCTGCAGTGCATACTTGTTTCCATCATTCAGTATTAGAGACCAACTATCTTGGTTTTGTTTTTCTGTATTAGATGGCAGCAAAGTTACAGCTGATAGTCAAGTTATAGCAAGAACAACGCAGGAAGGGCGCTGCTATATCAGGCCAAAGGCCAACATCCAGTTCCACATGTTGCCTAATCAGATCCCACAGAAACCTACAAACAACACTGCCTTCCCCCACAGCACCAAGCAACTAGTGTTCCGGGGCCACATTTTCCTTGGTGGGGTCTGCACGATGCTTTTGTACTGCAAGTCCTGCTCCACTGCAGCTGACAGAGGAGTGGTGGAAACTGGGGACACGGTGATGCCATCTCACAGCTTCTATTTTCTCTATGGATGGAGGAGGAGATACCGACCGGCCTGCTGCTTTCCAGGGCAGCCACCTTGCTCTCATAATGACTTCTTCCAGCTTTTACTGGTAACCAAATCAATGAAATACTGCTTTCCTCTAAGAATGTACCACAAGTAAGCCCAGATGGGGAAAAGTTTACTAGACCAATTAGTAGAAGGAAAGTGACAGGGCAAGAATGTCTATTGCTATCTGGTGGAAAGAAAACAAAACTAAAAGCAATTTTTTAATGCTTACCATCTGCTGGTAATTCCTGAAGTTGAAGAAATTGCATGGTAAGCTGTGCACTTCATTTTAGGCACACCATTGTCACCTGGGGAGCCCTTGCATGTAGCACAGTGCCCAGTGATGTTCTGCTTTGCCCCGGAGTCACTGGTTATCCTCTGGGAACATAACTAAAAAGCCATAAACCTCATGGGAGCTTGCAGCAGCAAGAGCAACCAACCCCACAGTTCTGAGGAGTGTGAGGGTAAAGGACTCTCTGTCAGTCAGCACTCTGCTCTGCCCTGCCTTTAGTATGTAGGTGGGACTGTATTCTTAGTCTAATCACTGTTACAATTTCAGGGATCTGTTTCACAGGCATTCATTCATCATTAGCCATCAGCCTTCACTCACACTGGAAACTAATGCCATGCTTGAGGATTACCACTTCAGCAGCTCCCAGACAAGTCCTCTGCCTTTCCTCTCCAACACACCAAGTCCTCACAGCTGTGGCCATGCAATGAAACTGTAACCCCACATACCTGCGGGGAGAGCTTTCCAACCCTTTGTGTCATGGGCTCATTCATCACCACCTCCAATTTGCAAGCATCCTTCTCCCTGGGAATGGAGAAACGCAAGTCCTCTTGCAACAGGAAGACAGACTGACCCTTCATCACTTTCAGCCCACGGTTGACGTTGACAAAGGAGGAGCAGATGCCTCTCAGATGAAATGCAAAGAGCAAAAGGAGCCAGCTGTTCCCCATGGCATTTGCGAAGGAGAAAATCTCTTAGAAGCAGAGGTGTGTTCTCAGTCCTTCCAGAGAAGCTTTGTTCACCATCTAGTCCAAGGCCTCAGAATGCAGGGTCCAGTATGTGTTTAATACCCTGATTAATGAAACTTGGATAAGGAGGCTCTTCAAAGTACCCACACATTAATAAGCTCATGGATCAGTCTCAGCATTTAGAACACTGAACGTGGTTTTTCCAAAATCTGGAGATGAGAAAGGTGAGGAGGGAGGGAGGGGGAGGGAGGGGAAAGGATGGAAACAATAGTATTGCATCTCTTCTGAGAAGGAATATAACATGTTAAATATTGCATGTTTCTTTGGCACCTGCATAACCATATTTCAGTGCAGACATCAGATTAGTTAGGCTGGCAGGGGCAGGCAGCCAGAGGCCTGATCTGGCCTGATCCTGATCATTGAGGCATCATCATGCTCAGCCCAAACGCTGTCAGCCTGTGCCGGTTCAGAGACCTTTTACCTGTTACAGGAAGCAGAAAGGGCTTGAAACATTTTAGTGCCCAAGACAAGAACTATAAAAAGAACTAAGAAGTGACCATTTGCCACTTTGTCATGGTATCCCAACATCTGTGGTTTCAGATGGGTCACTTCAGGCTGGCCCTGAACAGATGCATGGAAAGAAACCAGGAGCAGCACATACGCTCTCTTCACATTTCGGCTTTCACCAGTTCACGCAGAATTCACTCACCGGGAACCATGCAAGCTTTTTTCCAGATCTGGGTCTCAAGCATGTTTCACATGGTCTTGGGAAAGGAAATTCCATTTCCACTGTCCCTGTTATGCATTACCTAATCTGGTTCTAACTCACACCTTCCTACTGCTTTTTGGAGACCTGGCCATGCCTTGTGGGCAGCTGATCCCAGGATGGCTATTTAGGGGACTGACACTGAAATTCTTGCGTTTTTTATAAGTCCATATGATAGTTATATTCCAAAACCCAAGAGCCATATTTTTATTGATATTTCAGTTGCAAAGAATGTGTTTTGCATGTAAAATGTCCCAGATTCAATCTATAGCATCTCCAGGTAGAGCTTGGAAAAACTTGTTGCCTGAAACCCTGGAGAGAAGTCATCCATCAGCATAGATGATGCTGAGCTTGAAAGAACAATATTCTCAATAAGTGCTGGGGTTTAGGTAACATAACCCACACCTGAGGGGTGAATGTGGGTTGTCACTGAACCATGGTTTAATGCTGAAATGTGGCTTACCATGTGGTGTGAACTCAGCTGCACTGACAAGGCTTGTTAGCCATGAGCAACCCGCAAGTGGGTTGCTCTTTAGTTTGGATTCAAACAAAATGATAACCTACATTTCAACAACTACCCAAAGTTCAATGACAACCTACACCCAACTCATACTCACTTCCTGAGTGTGGCTTATCAGGTTATCTCAACACAGTCTATCTATGACAGCTTCCTAATAGAACATTTTCTAGGAAAGTCTGACACATCCACAAGACTATTGAGTTTCATCAACAGGTCTCCATTTTGCAAATTAGCCCCACAAATAGCTAGTCCACACTCACAGAAAATACTCACCTGTCTGTCCACAATTATTTATGCTTGACACTTCTGGCACATGGGTAGCTTAGATGAAGAAAAAGGAAGAATATAAACTTTATCCTAATCTATAAGTGCTTCTCAGCCTAGTTGTTAGATCAGCCTGGTCTAACCCATTTTCCTCCTTAAGCGGACAATTACCCATTAACAGAAACCAGAGATATGCTGGGATACTAAATCCTTTCATTTAGGGATGCTGAGAAACATGTGAAGCTAACAGTGGCAACAACTTTAGAACCCCCAAGCAGCATTGCTGCCAGAGGCAGGGTTTACACAACCTAAACCTATTGTTGATGAAATGTGGTCCTGTCTATGAAGCCTGTGGCATTTTCAGTTGTCCAGAAAAAGCATCCTTTGTGACTGGCCAGCTTGCTCACAACGAGAGGAAGAATATGTGAGGAGCACACAAGCCCAATGCAGCATCTTTTTTCATTTAGGAAGGTGCGGGGTGTTGAATGTCTTTCAGGTCAAGGCCCAAATTCCATTTCAGCGAAGCTCTTGTAAGGGCAAGCACGGCTCAAGGCAAGAGGTGGTGCAGCTAAAGGTATAAAGTCGGAGCCAAAATGCCCCAGTTACCTGCTCATTTTAGCTTGAAGCTCTGGTTGCTGATAGCTAAATCTTAAGGGAGACATTTCACCTCTTTCGAATGAGAAAACCATGTACAAACCAGGAAACTAACAAATGGTCTCAGTCGAGGTGCAGTGGCTGGCTGAGAATCCCCAGAGGTCTAGTTTGGTAGCCCAGGTGGGCCAGATGTGGCCCACAGAGCTAAGAGTCATAACCTCTGGCTTAAGCACAGAATCGTGTCAAGTTGGAAACAATTTAATCTTGTCCCATGTTCCATGCTGTGAGGAACAGCAGTTTCATGGTCAAGAGGCACAGCAGAAAGCGGCAGCATTATAAGGTGACTAACAAAACCAAGAAAACACATCTTGTATTGTTTCTCTCTTTTTAGTCACGTATGTAAAGGACCTAGACAGAACGACACACTATTGTCCATGCTGCCCGAAAGGGGTGCTTTTTGACTTCCCTTCTCCTAGATAACTTCCAGTAAGTTATGTACACAGGTCCTGTGTCATTCCAGTGAGCATTTTCTTGACCCCGTCAGTGGTACCCCATGAGGTGGATTGAAGGAAAGTAGGTCCATGGTCTTCAATTGCGTCATCAATTCAGGTGTACCACAGCATTGTAGAGGGGAATGGAGAATTTAGCAGAAGGGTGTTACTTGATGGCTGCCCCATTCCTTTTTCTGATGTGCCCTTCCCCCTGGATCAATGCCTGCCCCATTGCAAGAGAGATAAGTCACTTACCAGTCCAAATTTTCTAATTATTTCAAAATAAGGCCACAGACCCGCATGCTGCAGTTGAGGAATGTTTTAGGGGCTGTGCTTTGCCTGCTACAGGTTATTCATAAATGGAAGTCATAACTTCATCTGTGGTAGCTGAGTGATGAGCACTCGGCTGTGAACCAGGTCTCAGAAGAATTACAAATTACGGCTAACATACTTCCCATGTAAAACTCAAGGATGCAAAATATCACATTGACAGATAAAATCCAGCCACATTTGTGGTTTTAGTCTGTGGGAGGGATTTATACGCTATTTCCTATGAATCCAACGTCTGAAGTGGATCCCCTTTGAATGGCTTTAATTAGATAATGGGTATCTATAATTAAAAAAACTTCCTTTGATCCCATATTGAGCTTTTATATGCAGTTAAAACAATCACCTCTTTCCCGTTTAAGCCAACCCCCAGAAAGATCTTATTCAGTTACTGACAGCAGCTGACTGCAAAAGTCATGTTTCATTTCCTGGGTTCTTATTTATAATTCTCAAATGTAAATACTTAAAAATGTGTAGTTTTGCATAGGACAGGACGTATAGCTCTCCCCAGAGATGTGTGACTCGTGCCAGAAAAGCAAAACAAAAAATCAAAGTCATTATAGGCAAACAAAAATTAAGGACCGCTCGAAAGTAAAATAAATCAAGGCTCTCTAACTTTGTAGTTGCCCATCTGTGATCCAGTGAAGTTAAATCATATATTTTTTCTCTGCATAAGTACCTCAACTTCTGTTTTACTTAAAAGGCACTGCAATGCATACATTGAAAGACACTATTTGTTGTGGCATGCTCTGCCTATTTAAAAAAAAAATGCATGAAACATGTGCCATTGAGGAAATGCATGCATTCATAATTGGTCTTTACAATTTTGAAGACCTGAGTGCAAGGCAGAGTCCCAACTTATTAAAGAGGCATTTTGCACCTGTTGCTTATGTGTATGTTTATGCATATAGATATGATAAATAAATAGATATGCATATGCATATCTGAACAACCAAAAAGTCCTTGCTCTGGGCCTGAACAGCTAATCTCCAGTTCTCCATCAACCGCAGCAAGCTAGCTCCCCTGTTTAATCTTGCCTCCATTTCCCTCTTCTTCTGTCATTTTCCCTGTGCTGAATTTTAGATTGTAAGCTTTTTGGGGCAGGGGCCTCAGCCATGCACACTGATGGCCTTGCCACCTTTATCATCACGAGAGCAGCAGCAGCTCCTCATGTGCACCAACATAAAATCAAACGTGCATTTTGAGTTGATAAACAGAAGTGCTTTAAAGTTTTTATGGATGCCAGAGGGAAAGTGAACAGAAGCACTTCTGCTGAGATATTACTATTTGTGAAGGAACCACAGGTTCTGTCTTGCTGCAAAGGGCTTCCAGAGCTTTAGGTCTTCTATTGTGGTATTAATAGCTACAGGAACAAGTGGTGTCCCTGTGTGTAGTTAATCAAGAAAATGACAGGGAGAGAAAGGGGTAGACTCCTTGTCTTCCTGCAGTGCTAGTGCTTTACTCCCAATCAGAGTTTGTAGCAAGTGCTTTAAGGTAAAAATGCAAAACTGAGACTTTTCTTCTGTACCTTGCAAAGTTTGTCCTTTGAAAAAAGCCACAGCACAATACAAAACAAATTAAAAAGTACAAAATCTTGTCCCTAGGCTTACAATCTTATAAATCAAAAAGTCAGACATGTAAGCAAAAGCAAAAGGGCAAAGAAAATCAATGCAGGAAGAAACAGACTAAAGGCTAAAGTAAAAGATAATAATCTTGAAAAAGACTAGCACAACACAGATGGGGTTTAAGAGAAATGGTTGAACTCCAAGTCTAAGAAAGGGGGGGGGGATATGGGGTACAAACACCTACCGTACCATGCTAGGCAGTGTCCTGTCTCTGACCCCATCCTCGGATTTGCACAATGATACCTCCACAGAAACAATGCCCTGTCCCAGGCTAAGTATACATTTTAATTGGTTGCTTTTATACTGATGCATGATTCTGGATTATGCTGGATCCACCAGCTGGTTTTTGTTTGTTTAAATGGCAAAGGAAGGGAGTGGGGGCAGAAGAAGTACACAATAGTGATAAGTCCTTGTAAATCCTTGTTGGGGAAGTTTTGGAGCAAGCATGTTGGAGTGTTCTCAGCCTGAG